TTTGGGATGAAAGTTTTTCATTTATAGTGACTGATAGTGAGCTTCTTTCTGTGGATATTGTATTTAGAGTGATGGATAGAGATATGTTNTCAGATGATTTTATGGGTCAATCGGTTGTATATTTAACTAGGAAAGATTTTTCTCTGAATTGTTTCAAGAATTTCACTTTACCGTTGGTGGGTGTTGATCATGGATTGTTACACGTGTCAATAGGTGTTTTTAGAGATTAACAGATTATAGTTTTAGAAAATCATCCTTAATGTTAACTAATTTTACAAATACAACAATCTAACAATTTTAAGCAATATTTTATTAATACATTGGATGTAGATCAATTTGGCCTTCATCTGCAGAATCTGCCAAATTAAAGTATTTGGAAGCTGTACCAGGAGTACTCTTCATCATGGTCGTTCTCCTATTTTCACCAGCACTTGCTATGGAACTACTTGGGCTTGAACCTAGTTCTTCTTCGACAATGGTTTGGAAATCTTTTTGGTCAACCTGTATTCTTAATTGCTTCTTTTTAGGTATATCTTTTTTGTTAGGGATAACCTTATTCTTAGGTGTATTTTTTACAGAGGATTGATTTTGCCTAGTTGGTGGAGCAGATGATGGCCTAGTACCTCTTTTCTCATTCTTTGGAAGAACGCTCTTATAGTAACCAACAACTCCAGCTGCCTTTTTCTTATTGAAATTATCTATTGGATGAGGATAAGAGTAGCCCTTTCCTTCCTTATTTACAACCATTGAATTTCTCTTTGTTTCCTCAGCAAATTCATCCAGCTCCTTATCAGGTAGAAACTCGTACATATAATCAGGTATTCTTTCACTTGCAATTTTATAGTACTCTCTTGTCTTGGCTGTCAAATCTTTGATGGATTCTAGTTGATCCGCGAGAAGGGTAAACGTTGTTCTCTTATCTCTTACAACTTGGTCATCATCAGGTATTTGAGAAAGTTGGGTGTGAATTTTGGAATAGGATAATTCAGCCATCTTTAACAATGAGTCGAGTTCTCCTGGTGTTGAAAGGGCAGCTACTTCATGTGGTTGTACATCTACTAGGGCTAGTTTTTTCTCTATTGGCAGAGGCTTTACTCTGAAGTAATTGAAATCTTGCAGAATTTCATTAAGGTAGTGATATGTCTTCGGTTTTAGAGGGGAGGACACTGATTTTCTCAGCTTGACTGATGCAGTCACCGTAGACTTTTGTCGTTTCTTCTCCTTCTTTCTTATGAGACGTTTCATTTTCATTTCAATTGCAAAGGCATCCTTCTTTTTGGCAAAAATTTCCTCAATATTATTCTTTAGATCCTTCTTTTTAAATTCCTCCTCTGCTATGGTTTTTTTCACTTCTATTGAAGGTATTTTCCTTCCCCTTTGTTTACTAGCGTCCATGGCCAGATCTGCGAGTATACTCTGACTACCAATGGAAGTAGCAACTT